GATTTAAAACTCATAATACAGATATAAATGCAAACGAATATTCATTTGGTTTGCTCTTATATTTTAAATTGGTATAAATAACTTTATCTACGGAACTACGAAGTGACTGATAAGTGGATTGAGTCATGTCAGTAGATATAGACTACGTGGTTAGGGTTCATGAGACGATAGTAATCGTCGGTTAGAGAGACCTTGAAACACATACCTCGAAATCGTTTGCAACGACACAGGTGCATCCACTCTTTGTGCTCTCTGAAATTCTAATCTTCTGAATTCCTAAAGACCTTTTATCTCTTACTAAATTTATCTCACTGAATTACACTTCTGGAATAATATCTTCGAAACCTAATTTTCTCCATTACTGCTAATACTTCTACAATTGTGGTGGTGGTGTTTGGTTCTCTGAGCTGGGTGTTTTGGTTGTGGAGCTTTCATTATTCTTCTGAACAACAACTTCTACTATCTCTACCGCTATGGGATTTGAATTGACAATTGCGTCTCTGTGCTAATATGGTATGGCACCTTGAATTGATGTAAGCACGTATAAAGTTCCACGTTGTAACTGACTGACTGACTGACTGACGAGACTGAAAAGTTGAGTATGCTTACTAAATAACTATCAAAACATAAAAGTAACCGTTGTAACTATTCAAACATGATAGAACAATGCTGTAAATTGTTTTAACTAAGCAGAAAAATCACATTTACTTTCAATGGGGTGTATTTTTCATTTGATTAGACTGTTTTGTTAAAAAAAAAACTATCATTTGTAAATGACTCAAATTTTCGTGACATTAAATTTATTTTCAATATGAAGTTGTACACTATTCTGAAAATTGGTTATTTTATGCCTAATATACACATACACCCTTAATGGGTGTTGTCAATTTGTGTAGAAGTGGATTCGGAAGGAAACAATCAATGAACTTATTGATATCTGGTTTGCTCTAAACAGAATCCTTCGTTCTACTCCAATAGGTAAACACATGATCAATAGCTTGAGACTTTGGATAATAAAGCTTAATTACAATCTGTCACAACAATAACAGTACAGATACATTTAGTTTCTCGGTAGATTTCGTTCACTCATATTCTTCCATACATACTTTTCCATTACTACATTCCGATCAAAAATTCTAGGTGAAATAATTAAAATACAATACAAGTGATATTTTTTATTTATTATCCACATTACTTACTTACTTACTTACGCCTTTTACCCCCAATGGAGTATAGGCCGACCACCAGTTTTCTCCAACCAACTCTGTCCTGGGCTTCCGTCTCCAGTTCTGTCCAATGTTTGTTCATTCCTCTCATATCTTTCTCTATTTATCGGCGTAATGTGTTCCTTGGCCTTCCTCTTTTCCTTTTGCCTTGAGGGTTCCATGTGAGGGCTTGTCTCGTGACGCAGTTAGGTGCTTTTCGTAGTGTGTGTCCTATCCACTTCCACCGCTTCTTCCTGATTTCCTCCTCCACTGGAATCTAGTTTGTTCTCACCCACAGTACGTTGTTGCTGATAGTGTCTGGCTAACGAATCCGAAGTATTTTGCGTAGACAACTGTTAATAAACACTTGTATCTTCTGGATGATGCCTTTCATAGTTCTCCAAGTTTCCGCTCCATACACAGGAGAACTGTGTTGACATTTGTATTGAAAATCCTGATTTTGGTTTTGGTTGACATTTGTTTGGAGTTCCAGATATTTTTCAACTGTAGAAATGCAATCCTTGCTTTGCTAATCCACGCCCTCACATCTGCATCCGATACACCTTGATTGTCGATTATGCTGCCAAGATATGTAAAGGTGTATACTATTATTCACATTAGTGAGAGTTTATTTTGTTAAAATCAAGCAATCAATAATAAAGTACTAGTCGAATGCAAATTGTACTTATTGATTATTGAATAATTATTTTCGAATAGAAAAGGAATCTTAGTCTTTATAAATCAACTTTATATACATGTACATATATTCAAAGGATCTGTTTATATATATTACCATTATTCTAATTAATATTTGAATTGATTTTAGCGGTAAGTCAGCCATATTGGTTTATTTTTAAATTTTAACAAAACAAATATTCTTTTTCAAATACTAAGATGTGACTATTATACAGTTGATGATTTTTCATCTACCTTCAACTTTGATTTCATGTAATTTATGATGAAAATGTAACTTTAAAAATTCTTCTTAACACAATTGACATTGGTGTTTTTTCACCTTTTTAATGTTTTTTGTATGTGTGTCTGTGTGTGTGCGAGGCAAAGGTATGCAAATCAACCAGAAATCTGAAATCATTTTATTTTACTTAAATATGTAGACAGATATTTATGTATTTGCCTAGAAATATTACCAATAATAAAACTGTATAGTGAACTAGTAAATGTTTAAATAACAGGAGTTGAATAAGAAATGAGTGAAAGAAAAGTTACCCTAGACAAAGCTATCTGGCTAAATATTAAGTTGATTGTAGTTGTTGTGTTTTAGTAATTCAGAGGATAAATTTTCAGGATGTGACGATAAATACTGATAAAATAGTGAAAGGTTTAAATGTGCTCAATTTGTCGGTGTGCACACTTTTTTTCCGTTAAAATAATCATGTAATTGGTTGTAAACTATATCAACGTACCATTTGATTAGTTCGGATTTCATGAGAATCCTTTAGTGTTGATAAGATATGAGAGTGTGTGACAGTTGGGCCCAAAGGATTATAACTGCTTGAGACCGGTCACGTACGGCTTTTTCATGGAAAGTTGATATGCTAGCTCTGCTCTTCCAAAGGTCTTACCCTCGAAATCCTTTGGGTAAGGTGAGATGTGACATTTTTACGGTCTACATTTTCTACTCCTTCCTTCCTTGTCAGAAGTTGGCATCACTGTAGATGCTGGTTGTCCGAGGTAAACACCTTACCTCTGTCACACCTCTATACACTCAGCAGTATGACTTCTCTCTCAGAGCTTGAGTGGCTGCTTTAAATCTTACCGTTCTCTAGTCGGCCTGCCTGACATCCAAAGGACCATATGACCCCAGCCAGTATAGCTCGGCTGGGTCATGGGAATCATTTAGTTCTGATTAGACGTGGAATTTTCTTAATGATTTGAAAACCACTTGTTTTAAAATTTTCGAAGAAAAATCGTTTCATTGAATGCTGAATAACTTATTATTTCTTTTGGGAGCTGCTTCACATTAAATACATAGTCATAGTATCCGTATGATATCATCTCTATACCAGCCAAGTATTTTAGTCATACTACAAAATCCCTAGATCAATCAGAGTTAGACATTAACACCATTGGATGCCGGCCCAGTCGTCCAATGTTTAAGCGTTCTCGCACAATACCGAAGGTCCCAGGTTCGAATCCTGCGAGGCGCAGGAGTCCTGGGTGAGCACTGCCACTGATGAGTCCCATATCAGGACGAAACGGACGTCTTTCAGTGCTTCCAGGTTTCTAATGGTGGTCTATTAATGATTGATTGATGATTTCAAATGTATAAAAACACAAACCTCCAAAACTCTGCTCCAAAATAGTATATCATTTTGAATTTTTTAATTAGGTTTTAATAAATTGCGTCAAATTATATAAGTAGATAAAAAGTTATGATAAAAATGTTTACATTAAAAATAAAAGTATATAAAAAATATGAACTGAAAATAAACAAAACTTTCTTTTCAAATAAAATCGTTACCATTTTTTATAAAATATTTAGTTGATAACATTTAAATCAATAAAAAATCTGATTGAACTTTGTTTATAAATGATTTAGGTTTTGATATTTTCAGTCGTAACAAAAATAAACAATAAATGATAATTGAAATCATGAATTGGATCATTGTTAGGTAACCTTAAGCAACCTGGAAAGCACTGGATGGCTGTTTCGTCCCTAGTATGGAAATCATCAGCGGGACTCATCCACGACCCCCTGCTTGCGAGATGAATACCAGCTCAGTGGTCTAGAGGTAAAGCGTTCATGTGCGAGGCCCTTAGGTTCTGGGTTCGATCCTTGTGAGCGGGGTTCGTGGATCAGTTCTGATGATGAGAGTTCCACATTAGAACAAAACAGCTGTCCAGCGCTTTCAGGTTCCTAATGATGGTCTAACAATGATCGTTTCATGATTTCAGTCAAACTGAACAATCTTCACAACTGTTTAATGGAAATAAACTAATAATTATTCACTCCAAACCAAAATATAATTATAAGATTCCATGATTGTCTCCTGGCATTCTGTGCAATGAAACATTTATCACTAAAAATTTATCATGGTTAATTATACTGAGTAATATTATCAATACATATCAATATAAACATGTATTTTTATAACGTTGTCCATATAATAATAAAATACTTTGTTGCTTTTCAATGTAATTCTCTTAAATATTTATCTTTATTCAAAGTTTACACTGTTAGCTTTATTCAATTGTCAATGTATAGTCATTGTTAAAACACTGGTAATTCCCACATTGAATGTAGATATGATTGAGAAATGTCTCAAAACAGACATTAATTCGATTAAACTATTATTATTATTATTATCTTATATTAGTGTCTTCCTTACATCTAGATATATTCATTACAATCTGCATTAGGTAGTTGCGGAGATTGTTGAGTTACTTTTTGAAATCATGAATCGATCAATGTTAGATCACCATTAGAAGCCTCGAAGCACTGAACGACCGTTTCGTCATGGTATGGGATTCATCAGCAGTGCGCATCTACGATTCTCGAAACTCGCAGGATTCGAACCCAGGACTTTCGGTGTTGTGCGCAAACTCCTAACCACCTAATCGCTTATATCCAAACTGTGTAATTATCGTCAAATAATATTGATTAGTAAACTATACAATTCAACAATTTTCACAAACCCGTGTAGTACCAATCATCTTTTATAAACATACACTTATAAAAAGAAACAATACGTTTGTTATTTTTTGAACTATCTCTTCAAATTTCACCTGACTTCTCTGTATATTCTTTCTATTCCCCGCCCAAAAAACATCTAGATACAAACAGATTCAGCATCTGAATATTCCAGTGAAACAGATGGTTCTGACGAGTCCGAAACAAATGATTATTCAGGTTTTAATTCAAATTCCATATCGAAATTGTCAACAAATTCTTCTTCTCAAGTTATACAACAATCTACTATGATCGAATTAAATGATGGGAATAATAATAGCAACAATAAAAGAGTTAATGCTTCATCACATAATCTATCCGGCTGTGAAGTGAATGTCCCGTCGTTTTCAGTCGAGACAACTGAACAATTAATACAACAATCACAAGTACACAAATCGAATATGATTGTAAAATCTAATTCTCAACAAGTCTATTTCAATTCATCAGTCGATACTCACAGTATTAACAATCATCATACTAGTAATAATATTAACAGTAATGTCACCATTAATCATGGTAATTTAACAGATTGTGATAAACGTAATAGTTCAGCTAGTCTTGACAGTGGACGAGACTCGACTTATGCTACAGGGAGTGAAGGCAGTAGTGGGGTAAGTTTGAAAAAAATGATTGTTTTGAACACTTTTTCAGCTATTATTTTGTTTTTCAATAAATTATGTTATTCAGTTTGATAAATTCAACTGCAACACAAGTGAGGCTTGGTAAAATGCCTCTTCAATAGGGCATAAATGGTTCACACCACGGATACATTTGAAGACAATCCAAGATTCTTAACTGAAACATTGGTTTCAAATGGTTATCCGCTGAAGTTCATCAATAGGTTCAGAAGTCAGTTAAGATAAAAGCCTATTTTTCATTCTGCTGAGAAGAAAAAGGGTTTATATCAATTTACCATTTAGAGGTTGTTAAAAAGACAAATGATCCAGTGACACGATAGGTTATTCTAATCCGAGCGTCTCAAGGCCCCACTAAGTAGAGGAAGAATTCTTGACAAGATGTAGAAAGTGTATTCTACAAACACCCAGAAAATATGAAGTTTTCAAACACGCAAATCGAGTTTATTTATATATGATAGAAAAGTCCATGGGAGAGATACAAAAACTGCGTACTAAAATAATACATCGACCAATGACAGTCAGGGATTTAGCAGGTGGGAAATTTAATCTTTAGGTCAACTGCCCAGTCCATGCACGAAAACATAAAATTCAAAATGAGGACCTTTATCGAGTGAGTTCTGGGCAAATAACGTCCCCAACAGAAGTGAATCAAATGGTCTAATCTTAAAACAGCGACTAAAAGCAGCCATAAAGAAAACATACAACGATGCTAAACTGATTGTAATTGAAAAGGCTAAACCCATGATTGCACATAGACCTAAACGTTGCTCGAATGATTACGTCACATCCCAATGCATTTATCAATGTACATGTTTGTGTGGACACATACATAGGGAGGAGTAATCGGACTTTGCCATCAAGGGTTATGGAACATGTACCTAAGAGGCTTTAAAATCAGTTAACGTCAGATGAACCGATAAACGTGGGAAACAGAAAACCATGTTCATCGATCGCAAAACACATAATTGAGACAGGGCAAAAGATTGACATCAAGACATCCTTCAGATGTTGAAGGACGAATTTTGAGGTTTTTGGAAGCCTTGGCTATTCGTGAATTAAAACTCACCTTATTTGTACGGAAACCTTGAATTTACCCTGGTAATCTTTAAGCCTTGGGCGATGTGACAATTTCCTACCCTTTCTTATTCTTTTCATATTACGTTAATTTTCTCTCTCCTTTATTTACAATTATCACCTTATGTCTATTTGAACTTTTATTTAATTAACCTTTTATAAATCTTCATATAAAATGCCTTGACAAGTAAATATGTGTGACCAGACTGTTCGAAATGTCTAGCGCAAATATATAACATTTTTCAGATTAATTAGGTTTTCTCACTGTCCTATCGAATTTCAATATGCTCCAATTGCCATTTATAGACATGGCATGATTCTCACTTAATAATCTTGGCCGATAACTGACTTTTGACTCCAACTTGGTTTTGTTTAATGTTAAAGCATTTATAAATATATAAGAAAATATTCTAATAGTAGGCATCGGACTGCAGTATTGATTTTTACACACAATTGAAGTTCTAAACATTTCAACGTGTGAACATTTTCGAACTCCGCTTCATTTGTATTGGTTGTGTGAATCTGTCTCGAGATATTTAGAACTGCAATCGATCAGTGTCATTTGACTTATGTGTATCTTGTGTGTATTACCTTAATGTGCATATTGGTTCACAAGTAATAAAAAACAAAGCTAGATAGTAGTTATTAGGTGCGTTCATCTGACGAGTCTCAAAAACCATGAAAGGCGCGTCCTTTATTATACTGCAAACCACCATCTAAATGTTATGCTCGTCACTTGATATGCTTGAAACTATTACGAGTTCACCTTAGTCGATAAACGAGAACAAGACAATGAACCAGTGACACAGTAGGCTATTCTTATCCGTTGTTCCCGGCCCGGTTAACTATATCAAGAAGTTTTAATATGGCATAGAAAGTGTATTCTACAAGCACCCAAATCACGTTTATGTATACATCATAGAAACGTCCTTGGGAGTCACAAAAATAGCATACTAAAATAACACATCAGTTAATCAGAGCCAAGGATTTTCCTGGTGTTAAATATGATTTCAAGGTCAACTGATCAGCTCGTGAATAAAATCCGAAATCAAGACATTTATCAAGCGACTTGTGGGGATCTAACGTCTACAACACTAACTCTCTGTAATTTTCAAATTCCGTTCTGTAAACTGATGATACTATTATTATTACTACTACTATTACTGAATATTATTATTATTATTATTATTATTATTATCATAAGATTCATGAAATTAATACACTGAGCTACAGACTGTTGCGTTCACAGGTCAGGTCCAAGTTTTACCCTTACTTAATTATAACTTATTCGCTCGACTTTGATGTATGGGGGGTAACCTACCGAAACAAATAAAATTGTGTAAAACCTACTACCTGATAGCCCAGGACAGAGTAGGTTTGGGAACACTGGTCGGCGGCCTATGCCTTATGGGGGATAAAAGGCGAAAGTAAGTAAGTAAGTACTACCTGACGGTGGAAAGCCTAATAGTCATGATTCATAGACGATTCTACAATTCAGAAAATATTTCAGTAATAAAATTTGTTATATTGAAAATAAATAAATGTACTTTTTTTTCAAAAAAAACAAGAATACAAATTAATTTTAAATTTAGATTTTAAGAAATGAACTTGACGTTTTGTTTTTCTTTCTATATAGAAAAAAAATCATCTTTTCAATGTGTGTGCTTTGTAAAAAGTTGAATAATTCATGTTTTCTCAAAATTAAAATTAAATTAGAGAAATTTAATTCATTAAGGATTAATGGACAGGAAATAAGTCGTCATCATGACCTTTGAAAAAAGTCACTTCTAGAGAGTATTCATGTTAAGTTGTTCGTACTTATTATACATTTAGTTTTTTTCTGGTGTTTTTTTTTTTTAATGAAGATTAATCCAGTATGAAGTTCATTTACATGAGATGGTCTACTATCAATTGGAAATAATTGAAAAAAGGTCAAATCCTAATGACTGAATGATAATAGATTGGTTTGTTTCATTAAAGATAACTGATATGTATAACAGTTTTGGAATAGGGAGTAAAAACTGACAACGTATAAACAAACCAACGGAAGAACTAAGTTATTTAATTGTTGGGGACGTTAGATCTCTAGAACTCACATGATAAATTTTAGATTATATGCTTCCGCGGATTGGCTGATCAGCTGACCTTGAGATTACATTTCCCATTCTGCAAATTCTTGACTGTCATTGGTCGATGTATTATTTTAGTAGGCTATTTGTGTAGCCCTCCCATGGACGTTTCTATCATGTATAAATAAGCTCGGTTTGTGTGCTTGTTAACCTTGTATTTTCTGGGTGTTTGTAGAATACACTTTCTACATCTTGTCAAGACTTCTTTCTCTACATAGTGGGGCCTTGAGATGCTCGGATTAGAGTAGCAGCCAATCGTGTGACTGGATCATTTGTCTTCGCTCTCGTTTATCGACCAAGGTGAACTTGTAATAGTTTCAAGCATATCGACTGACGAGCATAACATTAACATTGTCAAAAATCAAGGTTAACTGTTGAATGTTCAATTGTAACAAAAGTGATTTGTGTTCAAATTAGCGGTCAAACATTAACAATGAATTGATTTATAGTTTTAAATAAGTAGTTGGGAAGTGGCGGTGTTAACGTTTAAAATAAATCCTGATACAAATCAAGTGTTATTTTGAATTTAATCAATATAATAAGTAGGGAAGTTCACAGATGTGATGGATCAATATATGTTCCAGTATTTTTTTTTCTTAACTGTACATTTTAGTGGACATTCTTTCAGCACAATATATTATATTGAGACAATTTTGTTTTAACGATTAAAATTTACAAAAATTTTATTACATTCATTTTGTAATTTTGTTTTTTATTGCTAATAACAACAACAACAACTACTACAAAATTCATAAAGGCTAAAAATACTTTATTAAGAAGTACGTTTACCTGTATATTAAGGATAAGGGTTAATGAACTTGAACTCTTTTCTGTGCACTTTTTGATCAGTAAGTTGAAATCAATGTGGTCTTTTGTTTATCGAATTCTAGCCATTGAGCTACAGTTAAGCCACTAGACTAAATAACTCAATAATGCTTGTAATTTGCTTTGGTAGTAATTTGTTGTATGTAATCGTCTGTGGTGCAGATGGACGATTTAGACTCCGGAGATGATCTAGCCCTTCTATCCCACCTACACAACAACCAATGCAGGAAAACACGATCAGTGCAACAGCAGCAGCAGCAGCCTCTGCAGCTGTATGCCTCAACATACACAAGGGGGAAATCATGAACCTCTGATACAACACGGTATGTACCAACCAAATCACAGATGATGAAGAAGATTTGAAAGATGTGGAAACCTTTAAGTTATCTGGGCAACATTGTTCATAAACAAGCTGGATCTGATGTGGCTTTAAAACACGAATGTCATAACCATCCTATTGTATTCAGTGGAAATTCGGAGAATCATAAAAGCCATTATTCAAAAGATACAGGTGTTTATTAACAATTGTCTATTGGTCAGAAATCATCGGTAACAGCTTATTGTGGGAGAGAAAAAATCAAACCACAGTTAAGCAAGAAATTAAGGAAAAAGGTCACATATTGCGGAAATCACCCGACAGCAAACCCTTAGTCGGAAGACTGTGGGCCAAAGAAGAAGAGATAGATCAAGGAACACACTGCGCTGAGAATTGGAGAAAGACTTGTGAATAATGAACTACAATTAAACAGAACTAAACAGGAAGGCTCAGAACTCAGTAGCTTGGAGACTGCTAGTCGGCATCCTACGCTGCATTAGGGTAAAGGTAACAGGTGTAAGTAAGCAAGTAAGTCATTAATCATTGCAAATACATCTAGCAGTAGGTGAGGCACAATTCAAACAACTCAGTGATAACAACTATACAAATTCTATTCCTATTTTCGTAAGATCTAGGTTAAGTGTCTCCCGCCAATTAAATCGAATCAGACCAATACATATAAGCGAACAGTATTGTTTTCGATTATATCGTCATTAGGCATTTTACTCTAATATACATGAATATTTATCATGATGAAAATGTTAAACCAATCAAAGCAATTTATAAGTCAATGATCACAATGAAATGAAATAGATTATTACGTCACTACACATAATTGGCAAAAGTACAAAATTTGATAGTAGGAAGACAGGTATACTACTGATAGTAGTGATAAGAGAATTAAAATACAATAACAAAAGTTTTATCACTAGTAGGTCAAACGTCGATAAATAGACTTAAAATAGTCACTACAAAACATTTAAAACCATTACGTAATAAGAAGTGTGCACATAATTAGATAGTAAAGAATATAAACGGAAAGAGGCAGAAAATACAGGAGGTGAAAATAATGCTAATGACAACAAAAATAAAATTTACATTACGGGGTTGTGAAGATTGTTAAGTTACACATTTTTGAAACCATGAATCGATCAATGTTAGACCGACAACATTAGAAACCTGGAAGCACTGAAAGATGGCCATTTCATCCTGGTATGGGACTCCTCAATAGCAGTGCGCATCCACAACTGCTGCACCCCGCAGGATTCGAACCCAGAACCTTCGGTATTGTAGGCGAACGCCTAACCATCGGACCACTGAGCCGGTATCTAACGGTGTTAATGTCTAACTTGATCAATTCACGGAGTTGCGCAACCTCATACACAGTCTTTGGTAGTTACTGTCTACACCCGAACAGGTTGAACTTCACTGGTCACGTCCTCTCACTAGAACTCGGAGAAGATTCCTCACGAAGCTAGTCACTAGTGAGCACAGGTAATTTACATTACGAGGTTGTGAAGATAGTTAAGTTACACATTTTTGAAACCATGAATCGATCAATTTAAAAAAATTTGTAAAACGTTGGTTAAGTCACATCTTTTTCTTACTACTATCAGTACTCACCTGTCTTCTTACTATCAACTTGTACTTTTACCGATTATGTGTAGTAACGTAATCTACTTCATTGTTGATGATTAGTAACTCAAATTGCCTTGCTTGATTTAATATTTTCATCATGAATAAATATTCATGTATATCAGAGAGTAAAGCAGCCTGATGACGATATCTAATTGAAAACAGTAATATTGTTCACCTATATCTGTGTTGTTGTTCGAATTTTCACAATGGGAATCTTTAATATTCTTAAATCGAATCATCTAATGTTCATTTCTGCTCAACATAAAGTAAACTAACGGTTTGTTGTAATAGTTAACTTTTCAATAAATTTGACCAATTTGGTCTCGTGTGCTGTTACGGGTATGAGGGCGGTTATCACTTCCCGGCTGAAAGGAAGATGGATTAGTGTTGGTCTCGGAGACCTGGATGCGTGACCGCCAAGCCCAAGCGATAACTGCTTGAGGCCGGTCACACTCAGCCTTTCTATGAAAGTTTTTTAGAGTATTAGCTCCGCTCTTAAAAGCCCTTAGTGGGCACCCTTACCCAAGGAGACGGAAATCCGTGAGGTAAGATGAGGTGTGACATTCTTAGGGTCGACCTTTTCTAACCGCTTCTATCCATGAGAGAAGGCAGCATCGCTGCAGATGCTGGTTGTCCGAGGGAAACACCTTACTGCTGTCACACCCCTCTACAGTTAGTGAGCAGTACGACTTCGCGCTCGAACCTTGAGTAGCTGCTTTTAGTCTGATCGTTCTCCAATCGACCTGCCTGGTATGGTAGAACCTACAGGAACATAAGTTCCAGCCAATATAGCTCGGTTGGGCCATCACGATAGGCAAGCGTGACCACCACGTCAAGGTAACAGCTACGGCCGGGTTTCAATAAATTATATCTAACATTTTTATTTATTTGTAATTGTTAAAGTTAGTTCTTACGGCAAGTCGATTTCACTTAAATTTGATTCTCAAACACTAATTTCAAATCATACTCAAAATAATTCGAATTCAAACTAACAAACTAATTTTCAGTTAGTTTTGGAGATTTGTATTTTTTACACATCTGAAATCATCAATCAATCATTGTTAGACTACCATCATTAGAAACCTGGAAGCACTGTTTAGATGGCCGTCTCGTCCTGGCACATCAGCGGCAGTGCGCATCCATGACTCCTACTGCTCGCAGGATTCCAACACCGGGACCCTCGGTATTGTACACGAACGCCTAACCATCCGACCACTGGGCCGACATCCATCGGTGTTAATGTCTAGCTCTGATCGATCTAGGGATTTTGCGCGACCTCAACCATTTGATTTTGGTAATTAGCGCCTACACCCAACAGGGTTGAACTCCATTTGTCACGTATTCTCAACTAGAACTCCGAGAATTTCCTCACGAAGCTAGTCACTAATGAGCACATGTTACGATATTTTCAGTTAGTTTTGGAGATTTGTGTTTTTTACACATTTGAAATCATCAAAGAAACAAATATTCTAATTTCTGATTTTTATCAAACGGCTGTGAAGATTGTTGAGTTTTATCGAAATGATAAAATCGATCAATGGTTAAACCAACCAGGTTTCTAATGTTGGTCTAACAATAATCGCTTTGTCATTTCAATGATATTCTAATTTCTACATTATTTTATAGTCTTATTTTCTGTGCAAAATAAATAGCTTGAACAGTGTTCATTTCAGATATCTCAAAAGTCTCATCCGTGCTGGATGGCCTGATGTTTGACGAAATCTCAGTACGGATAGAGAAAGCTCGATTGGCTTTCGCCAACCTGCGTCACTTATGGCGAAGGCGAGATATCCATCTGCTAACTAAACGACGAATGTACCGTGCAGCACCTCTCTCCGTCCTACCTAATGTTTATGACACATAGCCAGTAAGAGTAGAAGATATTCGTAGGATACTGGTTTTCGATCATGGGTGTCTTCGACGCACAGCTCGTTTATCTTGGGACTTTCGAGTAAAAAATTATGTTGTTTGGAAATGGGTACTAGGCAAGGGTGGCAAATCAATAGATGAAGTAGTGAAACCT